ATTTCAACAGGATTTCGTGATTGCATTTAATGATTAATATACGAAATACACACTCATATTTTTTTTTAAGTTCTCTAAGCCAACAAATTCAATCATTTAYAATATATGCATATACAATTTTATCGCAGTTTGTTAATATTTTTAATATTGTAACCTCGATAAATGTAATGTTATATGTACAAACATATAAAATATACTATAAGCGTTGATTTAACTCTTATTAACATTGTTGACAGTGAAGTTGACAAGTTGTTAAATTATACGGACTCGTACCTGAATTTATTTACACCAATCGGTACATTATTATTATCGATGACTTATATTACTTATACTATAGTTAAAATTATTTAAATTAAATTTTGTCAATATAAAAGATCCATTATATAGGTATAATATTATAGCTTAAAAATAACATTATTTAACCATCTTAATATTCTTAATGTGTATATAGAGGTAATTTATAATTTTATCCAGCCAATATAATATAAATTGTTGACCAAATGTTGAACTTAAATCCATAAGCGTTACTTTTCTTGCTATATAGGACGTAATCGTTGTACGCCTTAAAGTCGACTACACACTTAACTCCCTGTTTTATAAATATCTAAGTCAGTCCGAGAGAAAAATAAAATTGACTAGGTATTATTACACACGCAACGGGTTATAATTTGTAATGTTGTGAAACTTTATACACTGGTAAAGAACGTTTTTAAGACATGATATACATTTCAAAGATCCCATATCAGATAAATATATATTTTGAAGCAAAGATGGAGTAGTTTATTATTTTGAGTATAATATTATTATACATAGATAATATAATCGATGCGTGTGGTACAGTTAAGTCTTATAACAGTATGCGTTAAAAAAAAAATAATATGTAAAACATAATATAATATATATATATATATTAATTCAAGGTATAAATATTATACTGAATTTCTACTTTTATAAGTACAGAATTTATTTGAATATGATATTATAAAATGGTGGTATGTAACAGGTTTCAAAATTCGAAAAAAAATACGATAACATTCGATTATGAAAAACGTAAATTTAAGAATAATCGTATTATATATATTAATATATATATAATATATATATATATATTTAAATAAGAAAATAAAGAATTTTAATAATAAAATTATCAGAAAAATTAAATATTGCGTTACATACATGCAGGTACCTATTTATAAATATAATATGATATACATAATAATATATATGTAGAGTACAACAACGTATAATATAATAAAGTCGTTCAAAGCGTAAGGTATATATACCTTTAATGTATATTATATACATAATATATAAGTTTATAATATGTACCTAGGTACTTCAGATGTTATTTTAAACAGTATATACAGAGTGATTCGCAATTTTAAAATACCGAAACTTTAACACCATTATATTTTCAAATTCTTGACATTGTTTGTACTACTTTGGCTAAATACCTAACTTATGAGGAGTGTTTAGCGGGGAAACAAACTTTTATTTTTTAAATGAGAATTTCTTTTTTATACTGTAAATTATCTAGTGGATAATCATTTTGAAAATGTTAATGAATCTACCTAATTCAAAATTTGAACGAGTAATTTCTCAGTTATTAAAATCCTTATATACCTAACCTAACCAAGGATAAAACGGTCCTTAAAAATTGTTTTACACGAAAATACAAAATAATTATAATATTGGATCTTTTATTTATTGCACTTGGATAATTTTAACAAATTCCAAACATTGAAATATTAATAATGTTAATATTACCTATTAACATTTTCAAATCGACATGACTTCTAAATCCCTTTATCTTGGACCTATTTTATCCATGCACAGCAGAATGTTGTTTCTCCACAATTCTTATAAGTAGGAAAAAAAATATTATGTGTTTGAAAATATGGTTTTTAGACTTTAAGTATAGGCAGGTATATTTAAAAATTAGAAACCAGATTTTTAATAACTGCATAATATCGAAGAAAAGAGGGGATGACCATGGTTGATGAATCGTCCTGTATAGTATGCATAATATAATGCACAAGCGCCTATATTTTACTCGTGCGTTCCAATTCCAGGTTTATTACGAACGGATCGTTTACAAAGTGCAAAGTCGTATACCTTCGAATTTAAATACACATATCATACCTAATATAATATAATATATATACATAATGTGTACTAGTGCGTAAGAAAACCTTGGTCGGCCTGTAACAACTTGGAGGAGACATTTTACGTTATATATTATTAATATGTTTGCGCCGATAGAGCTACCACACGCACTCTCGAGTGTCCACGCGACGCGTTATTACGGTTTGTGGTGCGGCGAGAGATTATAATGGTTATATAGAGGTATCTGGTATATGCGGCGGGCATATTATGTGCGCAAGAGATTATAATTTTAAATCCACTCGTAAATCAGAATAAGCGCGAAATTTTCTACCCATTTCCCACTATGGCTTTTTATTTCGTCTTCTTTGCCGGATTTTTTCCTTTCTTTTTTTTCGTTTTCAGTTTTCGTAATCAAATTTATTATACGCGTAATTCTTGCACGGCTCTATTCGAATATATTATATTTCTATTTATAGACACGCATAGGTAATTTTTCATTCGTACAACTTAATATTAAATAATTGCGCTGACACTATACTAACATATTATTATTATTCATATAGGTAGTAGTGTGAGGCGAATAACTGCAACACGTACGTACTCGCGTGTGTTGATGACGCAGTTATAGATGTATAATAGGTAAGCGTTAGGTATTGCGACGACGATGACAACTCATTGGAAGGGTGTTATTGTGAAATGGGGATTATAAAAGATTAAGCATTATAATAATATTATGCCTACCGACGCATACCTATTGCGCACGTGAACATCGCAATCGATTGTGATAATTTTTTTTTTTTTTATAAAACGACTATACCGACGTTTGACAGTTGTACAAATAGAAATATATTACCTACATTGTGTGGTGGTTTTTTTTTTCGCTGATATGCAGACATTGTCACTGTACAAATACAATATAATATCACAATACGCAATGTTAAAAATATGAACGATCGTCGGAAAAATGACGATGATGTGACTATGTGAGTCTATAGCTTTTTGACAAAAATCGTGCAGATTTGTATGTATTTCAGGGTAATAGCTATTTATACAAATGGGTACCTATTGATTGCCTTTACAACTACAACTGAATATAATGCAGGGGGGTTCACCAAGCATGTTCATCCCTTATTTTCTCCAATTTTGCAGTTATACGAAATCTGATTTTTGGAATTTTTAAATATATACCTACTTAGGTAAAGGATCGCCATACGTCCTAATGAGCTGTTTCGTGAGAGCCAATTGTTCCGGAATCATACTTCAAAAATKTATATTATCATATTGCCATTTTGTATTTTAATAAACATTTATAGTTGAAAAACAATATTGTTTTGATAAATAATAAAAAAAGTCAAGTTGATTATTTCATTGAATAAATTATAAAATCTATTTTTAAATTATTTTCCTAACTAGATGATGGCAATTATTACTGAATACGTATGTTGTTTTCTTGCACTCCGTCTTCATCTACACATTTTGTAATCAATTTTCAATAAATGATAATTTTGTCAATTATTCATTTCGATCTGTATCGTTGATTAAGTTTTTTGTTTGCAGACGTAGTATGTGTTGTAGAACACTAGCGTGTTTAAATACTTTAAACTAGTTGATYAGGGATGAGTGGTGGTACGATATTTCCATAAAAATTATAGGATAATAGATCTATGATAATAAGTTTGGAAGATATAGGGATTTAAACATATCAATAATTTATATAAGTCGATTAATATTTATAATTCATGAAAACGTTTTGAGTATCATAAATATTAGATGCGATATGGAATCTATTTTATAGTTTTGTAAAACCATTATTAAAAACTTTAATCCTTAGTAAAAATATAAATTTATTTTTAATAACTGAAAAACTAATCGTTTGAATTTTGAATCAGGTACATCATAATTTAAAAAAAATTATCCTCTGAATCATTTTTAGTATAGGTTATATATATATATATATATATTATATTATATCTTATATAAAATAAGAACTAGTTTTGTTTTTGCGATAATACATTTGATTTATTGAATATTTACCTAATAAAGTTTTGAAATAATCGTTTACATTTATGATATAAAGGTGTAATAGAAAATTAAGGATGTAGTTAAAAAGTTATAAATATGGAATTTTATTGGCTAATGTCATAAATTATGTATTATAAACCTATACAACTTCATTATTTCGATACTACTTATTTAAGTTTACACTGATACTCGGTTAGCGGTAGATAGCTCTATTTATTTTTTATAGGTTTATTTTTTTAAGATTTATGGCATGTGGTTAATAATAATTTAAAGGGTTCCATATTATCATTTATTATAATGAACTGTTTTTCTGGATTAAATTTGCATAATAATATATCTAAAGTAAAATAAAAAGCTAAAAATACATTGTAATCTGTGTTGATAGACGTTATGAAAAATAATTTTTTAGGTGATACAAAATAGGTATCTATAAATTATTTTTATACAATATTAGTTTTACATTTATGTTTGAAATTTTTAAAAACTTTTATAAACTTTCTTCTAAACTTGTTTACAAGATTATGAGAGCTTTTCACGATCATATAAAATATTATTTATTATAAGCGTTTCACCATCATATTATTATTATTTATGTATCTAATTTTTCTTGAGAAAAATTGTAAGAAAACAATAAACTGCACAAACACAAAATAATAACAACTATATTACATAAAAATAAATAATTATTGTAAAAAACAGATTTATAATGTTTAAAAAAAAATATTAAACCTCTATTATATAATCCCTAGAAACGTGCGATATATTAGAGTCACAGTCCACAGAGTTAATACCATGCGTTTACAAATTCAAATATTTTAAATATTAACTGTTTCTGGGCCTAATATTAATGATTTTATTTCGTTTTCTTTCAGGTGCTTATCACATTAATTGGCGTTTTGCTTGCAAATTCGGCTTCAGAACCTATATTACCCACGGATTGGTCGAACGAAACGCATCGTCAGAGCAACAACAAAAGTCTGAACAAAAACTCTCAAGACTGGTAAACAATTTTTAATCTAATRAAAAAAAAAAACAGCCTTCGTTAATTAGTAACTCTGCGCATAGCTATCATATAGCTACTAAATACGTATRCCGTATATTTTGGCTATAACATTGTCTTCATTAATATAGGTATCGTATTTACCTATTTTATATTATGTTCGATATAACTATGCAGTTGCAGCGACCGGCCAGGTACAGGTCGAAAAACGATGTCGCGTAAATCACCGGTTAATATTATWATAATATTATTACCGTTTTATATTTATCCGCTTTCAACGTAGCTGCTTTGCATAACCCGTATGGGACGTCATATAGGTAGGTACTCTTGTATAATACCGATAGACTAGTTTCGGTTCGAGCGAGTGTATATTTTATTTTTCTCCAGAAATAAAAAGTTGATGCGAGTATGTGTAATCCACGTGAAACGATCATATCGGACGGTCAAAATTAGCCTATACTCRCTATATTAATATAGTCGGTCGTGACGCAAATAATATACAATAATATTATAATATTATATTATATAGTGACACCGAGAGAATCTCAAGATTTTTACGAGAGTACGAGACAGTAAAGAGTTTTTAAATTGTGATCGCGCTCGTTAGACATTTGCATAAAGTCATTCAAGAAACTATCTGCGTTATAATTCTTCGATAATATTTTATTTTCTCACTCGGACATGCTTATACTTTTGTAACCCCCTCGTCATACATAATATAATCCACGCCCGAGGATAACCACTATTCGTCCTTAAGGTATAGGTACGCGAGAACCGGCCATGTTTCATTAATAAATAATGCTGTTGCTGTAMACAATATTGTCACACGGACTGTACAGATGTTTAGACATCGTTTCATCTGGCCAGATCGTTATTATAAATTCTGTAACCGACGGTTTTCAGGTTAGGTGGAGAAGAGACGTCGATAGAAGAAGAGGTAGCCGACCACCATTGGCTGTCTAGTCGTAAGAGCCAAGAATATTTAATCGCTGTCGGTGGTCAGGAAGACTGTTGTCCGTCACAGATGGAAATGATCGAACCAAACGGTGGAAGTAACCCAGACGGGCTGTACGTCGAGCTTTTCAGGTAATTATATATTATATTTATATGTGATACGTAACGTCTCGTACAGGCTCACAATATTATATTACACGATAAATACGCCTAGCTTTCATTAAATATTAAAATAAGCGCGGTGGTAAATAGAGATAAGAAAAACCCTCGAGACTTAATCACTGGTCTCGTCACTTATAATATTGAACACACTACACACATAACATCTTATGTCGAGCTGTATAAAATCATTCATAGAATATAGAATGATGAAATATTTCGTTTCGGTCCTTGACGTCGTATACTCGTATAATAGTGCTATAGTGTGATACAGCCCCTATAATTGCGTATGCATTAAAATTTAAAATATTTTATTTAACAKTTCAAAAGTGTGTTATTTACTTTAATCTACTATACGAGATCATTGTATGTGATAATAAAAATTTAGATCTTCATTAACGTTGAGCGAACGAACCATAAATAAAGAATAATTTATGTATAATGATGTTTCGAGAAATTCACACAAATAACTTAAATGTGTATAACATAAATGTATTGTTAGTAGAAAAACCATTAATTTGTTTGCAGGGGACATCATCCAGACGAACTATCTAGGACTGTATCGGAAAATTTAGGAATTTCTTATGATCGGTAATTACCGATATTTTTATATGAAAAAAAAAATGCTTTAATTTGTTGGTAGTTAAATATTTAAAACGATATAATTTTATCTTTATTTGTTAATTTAAATGAATTCAAACTTAAACGCCTATTTTTTGTCATAGGTACATATAAATTTTGCATTTTTTTTGATTTGCGCATAATTTTTAATAGTAGATAATTTCTAAAAATTTAAATTCAATTTTATCAAGTATTTGCTTTTTCTTTTAGATAATTGAAAAAATGAATGGTTTAATTTTATTTACAAATAATTTGTATAATATGTTCCCTCAATAATTTTATTATTAAACATAACCACAAAAAACTTCGTCATCCATGTACAGTAATTTCACTTTGACTAGCGGTGGCTGAGTTTTAGATTCTGAGCGGAGCGAGGAATGTATTGGTTTTACAATGATGTTTATTTMTTTTTCTTTTTCTTTTTTATTCTGTAAACACTTTTACTCCCTCTRAACTTGTTCAAAAGTATCAAGAGTAGCATCTTTTCTGAAGGTAATGTTCTTAAGTTGGTACTTTAAAAAGGTCATTTTTTGATTTTCTAAACGGTACTCGAAATAAAAGCGGTTAAAGGAGAAAAAATGTACGATTTCACGATTTTATAATATTAAATTATTACGGACGACGTTTTCTACCAGAAATATTGTTTCAAATGAAAAATAACAAGAGATCTTTTTTGTTGTATTTTGTATTTTGTTTTTTACAGTATAAAGTTCGGAATATTTTAACCATTTTTTAGCTATTTATAGATATTTTAAATTTGGTAGTTTTTTGTTGTAATTTGGTTAAAAACATTCGTAAAAACTTACAATTTGGGTTCTTTACTTATATAGTTATATTAGCCTTACTTAGATAATATGGTAACATTTTCAAAACATTTGAGTTACTTTTGAGCATTTTCTTTTTTTTAAATTTTTATGATATTTCCTAATTATAAATTATAATTATATAAATTACCTATTTATATAAATCGTTCTTAAGCTGTTCTTATAACGCTTTATTTATCACCATAGAAACGAATAAAATTAAATAAAAAAGATTCCCTCGTCCGCTCAGAATCATTTCTCTCTTTTTTTAAATCTCTTGGCCAATGCGATATTCTCAAAATGTTACAAAATTGAACATAATTTAATACACTCATGCCATATTATAATAGTTTCGATGGCAGGAACATCGTCACTTAAGTACCTATACGACCGACCGATACCGCTCGCGCGTAATTAGTTATCTACAAATTGATTTCGGACGCAGTTATACGAGCCAACGATAAACGTAAATATAGCTAATGTATTGGAATATAAACGTCGGTAAGAGCAAAATTAAAAACACGAAGAAACAAATAAGAGTCGAAATATTTCAAAACCGAAAACTGCGACGAGCGTCGTTATGTTTTAAGCGTATATTTAATAGGAAGGCCGGGTTCAAGATATAACCACTGTAGATTACGGCCTACACAACATCTAGAAATATAAACTAATTAGTTTATAGGTTTATGCTACAGAATCACGGTTGACCACGGATTTAGGTGTTTTTGTGTTCAAACATCGAATTAAAATATGTTTACAAAATACAAATTATCTTTTTACAAATTTTTATTTTTATTTTTAATCAAGCAGATTATGGTAGGTACTTATAGTAGATTAGATAATTATGTCTGCATTCCGCACACTAAACCGTGTAGTTCTCATACCGCAGCAGTCATTTAGTTGAAATCGTTTTCATTAGCCGTACATTACATGCGGTGTAGTTTTTGCGGTATTACTGACGGGTCTGACGATGGTGCATTCGGTGTATACGTTTTTAAAATAAAATAAATCCTGTATTATGGTAGGTATTAGGTATCTACCGAATTTTATTTTATTTCTCTTGTTCATTTGTGCATACTGCCTAATATAGTTTAATATTTATGTCCAATAAGTAAAAAATATAGTGTAATAAAAAATAATATTATTATTATTATAGGGATTCAACGTTTTCGTATTTCTGGCTAATAAAAATGTTAAAAGTTTATATGCTATACATATATTTTATAAACATTATATTTTGAAACAAATATAATAAATATTAATTTACTCAAGTATAATTAAATGAATAGGAAAATATTAATAATAACCCTTTAACTCAACTAGAATTTTTTAAACACCTATAGTGGGCGGCTGACATTGAGGTCCGCCTTTGGACTTATACCCGAGAAAACCATATACTTATGTGTTATGTACTTAAAATATATCGTCTCGGTGACCCACCAACGGCATGCCCTCGATGCGCACCCATAATATTGATACGTCCAACTAGCCGTTCCGGTTCTTCGATATACATAATATAGGTAGTAAGTCCTCTCCACGGTCCGCAGCTCAAGCCGTGAAGTCATCAGCTGCTCATTACTTTTTTTTCCTCCGATCACAGCGACAAGCGTGTCCGTCGCAATAATAATGCTCGACACACACACACATAATAATATTATACGTATATGTATATTGTATACGGTACCCACATTTGCAGGGGGACGTTTCCGAGTTTATAATGTTTCGCTGTGTACGCACACAGACACACATATACACATATTATGTGCTAGTAAAATAAATATAAATAACGTGCACTAACACGACGTGTTTAAATATAATTTTAATACGCGTGCCCTGCGTGTAAGTGCTGCCAGTTAATTATTATTATTATTATTACTGTACAGGTCAGGTTAATGTATTTAGAGTATTATTATTAAWTAGATGAATAAAATTATAAATGATTATACATGAAATAAAATAATTGCCTAAAATAATATTAAATTAGATTTTATACTTATTGCACGGTATACGCTGTGGTCACTGGCAGCGATACGAGTTTTCAAATTTTTATATACCTACCTGTACGGCTCTACTACGAACATCACGATATGGACAGTTACAACAGATCACGAATATTAAAGTAGGTGTAAATAGGTAGCTGAAAGTAAGATGGTTATCTAATTAAATTTTTGATATGTTCAATACATATTTCGAAAACACGATGATGTATGCCGTGATGTTTTTCTGAATTTGACGATTACCTATATAAACAATTGTATTGAATACCGAACAAGAAAACAGGAATCTAAAGTGCTTGTAAAAAATTCAAAAACTATGATAAAAACTCGAATGGTTTTTATAAATTAAATTAAAAACATCAATATTATAATATATTATAATAATTCAGGTATTTATTATACTGTACTTGATTCTTTTAAAGGTGAACACTAGTTTTTCTCGGAAAAGTATATTAATGTTTTTAGACATATATTTTTCTACATAATTTAATTCATTACAAAACACAATTTAAAAAAAAAAAAATTATACGTTAGTTTTGCGTTGTCATCAATTTTTAAGTTACGTACTTTTTTTAATGACACCATACTTTTTCATTTCATATTTCTTGGCTCATTATTTTTTAGTATTTCTTTATCTATTTTAAAATCGAATTTCGATCGAATAGTAACAGTTGATAGTTCTTTATTTCAAATGTTTATGAGCAGAGTGGAGCTCGGAAATCAGTGGTCAGTAGTCACTACTATCTTAAGCTTTCAACATGCTGCTTACAAAAAAAAAAGTAAAAACAATTTAAAGATTGAAAAGCGGGTAAGTCGTAGATGTCGCTCTGCTGTATAGTAGGTTAAAAGTGGGTTACTGTAATGGATGGAATTAAATTTAAATCCAATGATATTATATCATTGTATGTATACGAAAAACGATTCTGAGCGGAGACGGTTTATCTGTCTAGGATATATTATAGATTATTAAAAATTTTCAAATCTTAGATTTAAAAAGAAATTTTTTTATGAATTTCTAGCTTAAAATTATTTGCGAATTTTCGTGATTTTTACGCATGTTGTCAAAATTCAAACTTTGAATGCTTGAAAAAAAAATTGTGACCATGAATTTATTTTATTTTTCAACTGCTATTGTAACAATATGTTAGGAGCCTTGTAATAAATTTTCAAGCTTTCCCACCCGACAAATACATTTTGATCGATATTAATTTTAAAAAAGCTAACAATGATCGAATATTACATATGCCTATAAATAGTTCAACTTGTGATTATAATTTATTTTTGATYTACAAAAATCACCAAAGATCCACACAAACGCGTATTGTCCTCGCGTATGGCGTATAATATATAGGTACATAATATAGGTAGGTACCTGTATAGGCATCTTGGCGAGGAGTGTACCCGTGGTGTTTTTACAGTGGGTATATATATAGTAACACTATACGCGCGTATATAGTTGCCGTCTTATACATGACATTCGAAACGGGGTGGATGGGTTTGGTCGGGTGTACACACGTCATATAACGTCGAAAGATTTGTATGACGACACGCGCGTTTCGTCGTACCCATCGTGTCGACCCTCCTCGGCGGCAGACGTGTCGCGACACGTTCGATGTTTCACAAACGGCGACACCCATATAATAATATGTAGGTATACTGCACAACCGTATGCAAATATTATAAAATATTATTATTATTATTATTATACRCATACGAACACGCGTGGCAGACTGTCGTGTTTGCGAATCGAGCAAAATAATATTATAAAACCATTATTATATATAATATAATATATATATATATTACATATAGATAGGTAAGTACCATCGTCGCCGCCACGCTGTGCTCGAAAGCGTGTACACAAACGTATGTATATTGTATGCGTATTAAATTATTATTATCATATCATATTATTATCGTATTATACTATCGTCATTATCGGATGATCGTTTTATTGTGGTGTATGTATATACATTTCACGGTGGGTTTCGTCTCGACGAGTTTTGCCRACGACGTTGTTAAATCGTCGACCTTTTCAAGGTAATAAGAAGACAGACTGCACCGTATAGAATCATACGCATMAGGATGATGAGTTTACGCAGAAATAATAGAAATTGCAACGACACAGCTAATTTTACCTATATATATATTATATATATAATGTAAACATTGTA